ATTGCCAAACATGTACATGGACACCAGCTTGTGGGTTGTTCCAGGCTGCATTAACCAATGGATAAAGTGAGTGAGATATTGGACATGGACTGCTCTGAATAGTGGATTCGTTTGATGAAATGAGATTCAAGAGTAAAAATTACTGTATGCCAACCATTTTAGTGCACTTTAGTTTATAAGGCATTTAAGGGACCACTATAGGCACCCAGACCACTTCAGCTTAATGAAGTGGTCTGGGTGCCAGGTCCATCTAGGATTAACCCTTTTTTCTGTAAACATAGCAGTTTCAGAGAAACTGCTATATTTACCTATGGGTTAATCCAGCCTCTAGTGGCTGTCTCATTGACAGCCGCAAGAGGGCTTCCGCGCTTCTTACTGTGATTTTCACAGTGAGAAGATGCCAGCATCCATAGGAAAGTATTGATAATGCTTTCCTATGGACTGGCTGAATGCGTGCGCATGCGCATTCAGCCGGTGACGGAAGAAGAAGGAGGAGTGGAGGAGGAGAGTCCCCCGCCCGGCGCTGGAGAAAGAGGTAAGTTTAACCCCTTTCACCCCCTAGAGCCCGGCGGGAGGGGGACCATGAGGGTGGGGGCACCCTTAGGGCACTATAGTGCCAGGAAAACGAGTATGTTTTCCTGGCACTATAGTGGTCCTTTAAGGCTCTTGCATACTTGTGCAAGTAACAGGTTTACATGGATTAGTTCTTACACTCTATTTCTTCTCTTTTTGGAAGTAAAAAGCAGTGAGTGATGCTGTGTGTGATGCACTCTCTCACACATCACACACATCACACACAGCACTCTCACACACAGCACCCTTGCATACATCACACACAGCATCCTCACACACATCGCACACAGCACCCTCACACACATCATATACAGCACCCTCACACACAGCACCCCTCAAACACAGCATCCATAACACACACATACTGCCCCCTTCACATACACACTACACCCCTCACAGACACCCACTGCACCCCTCACATACACCCACTGCACCCCTCACACATACACACAGAATCCCAACACATTATACCAAACACACACGCACACACAATACTTCCAAGCATATTTATATATTATATATATATATATATATACATATATATATATACACACACACACACACACACACTACAGCACCCATCACACACACTGAACCCCTCACACACATACTGCACTCCTAAACACATTACATTCAGGACACACACTAGATCCCTTACCCAACTCTGGATAATATATACACACACTAGATCCCTTTATACACTCTGAATCTGTTATTTATACACACTCACTAGATCTCCTACACATTCTGGGTCCTTCAAACACACACTAGACTCCTGTATACATTAACACACACTGCACCACCTACACACACACACTATATTCCTAACATACACACTCGGGATCCCTACATGCACAATTCTCTTTCCTGGCCCTTTTGTCTCCTGGTATCCATTTATAGAGACACCAGAGACAAGTTGCAAGGAAACACAGTGCAAGCATGTTATTAAATGTGTGTGCACTGTGCAGAACAAATACAGGGAGCTCTGCGCATGGTCTGCCCTGGAAGAGCATTGAACCAACATGTTCACTTTGAGAGGGGGCGTGTTTGTCATTGGTAATGACGAAACACACCCTCTCTGCCCCGCCCCCTTCTTAGTGGGCCGCTGTAATAAAAAATGCCCAGGCCGAATTTTTCTCCCAGTCCGGCCCTGATAATATATATACTGTATATATATTTACCAGATCCGTCATATTTTCAGGGACACATATAAAAAAATATATACACACAGAGAGACACACCATACCCACCATGTTTTCCAGGACACATATCATTTATACATACAGAAAGTGCTGCCCTGCAGTATGTAGAAGCCACATGCTGCAGGTAGTAAATCAGGTGGTAAATTCATCAGGAATCCTGCAGCATATCTACATAACACAGGGCAACCTCTTCTTTTGCTGCCAATCAACACGATGAAATTATGTGTGCCTAGGCAAACATGGTGGGTATATATACACATGTGTCCACACCCATAACTAATTCTCTAGCAGTGGGCCTTATGTATGCATGCTGTTAAAGCTATAAATAATGCACAATAATAATTACCATTAGGGGTTCAGCTGTTATGTAAATTTAACAAATGTTCTTTTTATAAGCAAGCCACTTTTGTAACCATAACATATCTTGTTTTGGAATGTTGTATTATGGGAGAGAATACCTACTCTTTTCAGGAGATCCATTGCTGGTCATTTTGAATCATATATCTTACAGTTTCTTCCATCTAGATCACTTTGAATTTTCATATGTAGCAGGAGAACAGAATGCATGAACAACTGGGAGATAATAGACATAAAATAGGAAATAAGTAATGGGAAAGCGAGCACTTAATGTCATTCAAGAGGCTCTCAGTGAGCCTAATCCATTATGCCAATAACAGTTTGTGAAAGAAGTCATAAAGACCAACCCCTGCAACACGACAACACATCTATTTACAATATGTTATATGGTATTAAACATATTGCAATAAAACTTGGGCCTCTAACATCAGAAAGTGCAACAAAGGTATTCCTGTCCTAGGAAAAGTCCCACCCACTCCATGTATTTTAGTAACTGAACTTAATTCTTTGTAAGACTACTCTGTAATATTGTCAATTGTGCCACTGTGTATATCAAAGCCAACCAGGGCCGGCCTTAGGCCCTTAGGCACCCCGTGCAAAAAATTGGCACAGCGCACCCCCCCCCCCTTCTTCCATGTATAGTGTATAGGGGTGTAGTGTTTGTTCCCCCTTCCCTGTTGTTAGGCTGATTTTATCTTGTCGGGAGAGGGGCATGCTGGTCTTTGGTAGTCCAGTGTGCTGGGAGTCTGAGCTGCCCATCCACCAGATGCAAACCATGAGTAACTGTCCCAGGAGTTCAGGCACTTACAGTGTCAGGGCTTTACTGTGGTAATCCGCGGCAACGCTCTGATTGGCCTGAACTAGGTAGACAGCTACTGCAGTCAACTGAACTGCAGGCCAGAGGTGCCATACTGTCTCCTCAGCATTACAGGGGGGCAGACTAAGTTTGTCACATAACACTGTGAGTTGTTTTGCTTTGGAGCCCTGGATTTTCCTTATTTATCATGACCTCTTTGGAATAAAATCTCATAGTAATGCGCTGTTTATCCATTTATCACTGAGATCCACAACAATAAAAAAAAAAAAAACTAACTCACAGTACTATGTGGTGTGTACCAGTTTAGCACAACAATAAAACTCACATCTGTTTCTATACCTTCTTAAATATGCAATGTTTACCATTGATACTAATTGAATCCCACCCACTCAGAGAGATACATTGACACTTTAGTTTTAACAGTTATATATAACTTTCCTTTCTCTTTGGTATTTCTCACTTCTTATTATTCTCGAGTATTCTATATTCGGATTAGATTTATAGTTCTCCTTGTGGGACGTTTTAACTTTCCTTTTAAAAGTTACATTTTAGAGCTATTTAAAATATTATCTCAATATTAAAATTAAAAGAATAGCAGCAAGCAACTCATATCAAGGAAGACATATGAATAATAAAATATTAGTGTGAATAATGTATCTAATACATACAGTATAAAAAGGTATGGAGTAACTTATCTAAAATATATCCACCCTTTACGAGATAAATAAAAAAAAAAAAAAAAAATGTCGAATGTAATAATAAAAAGGGCTTATCTATTTAATGTTACTAAAACTAAAACATTCCTAAAAAACCTAAATATCCAAATAAAAATGATCAAAGTCAATGTTTAATCCTGTCGGGGCTGTAATATTTAAATACAAAAAATATCTAATTTCCTCCTGTCCTATTTTCTTAATAAAATCAGGTAGGTGGTTGCACAAAATCAGATACCATAAAAGTGGACCTACTGTCTGCCCTAGTACGTTCTTGTTCTGTTTCTTTCTTCACTAATATAGACTTGTGGTATCTTTTCAGTTGTAGGTTTATACCAGAACTGGTAAGATGACCCATCACTGCCCCCCTACACACTTTCTTTTCATACTATTAGCCCTTTGTTTTCCTGGCACTATAGTGGTCCTTTAAGACCAATTAGATGTTTATGTTAAAAAAAATTGTTGCTGCTTGGTATATTTACTAGTACTGTAATGTTGTTGTGTTTCACTTTAAGAAACCACTACATTGCACATTGTGTACTGCACAAACTAAACTAAACACCTTCAGAAAAAAATTGATTTAATTTTTTCTAACAAGAGGTAAAAAAAAGACCTTTCACATTCAGATGGAATGCAGTTTGCAAAGAAAAAGTAGTTGCATTGAAGTCTGATAGAAAAGCAGAAATTGAATAATCTGTCACTCACTAGAAGGAAAAAAAACCCATAGATCACAAATCGATAAAAAAAAACTTTGATTTAAATCAGTGAATCTGGTGTAAGTGTGGCACTGGAAGTAACCTAACTACCACATCACTAGGATCAGTGAGACAGGATATCTCCCATTCGAAGTTACTGGCCCTAGCTCTGGCAGAGCATATTATTATTACAATAGTAAGAATTGATTAAAAAGAGTGGTGCTACAATCACCATGTGTATCACTCCAAACACACCAATAAAAGTGCAAAATACAATAAATAATAGTGAGAGAACACAATAAAATAGAATATTACCTCAGTCTGTACATACAGTAGTGGGATTTATAATTAAAATAAAAAAGAAGGCACATAGGGTAATATAGTTACAACTAACTATATATTATAATGAATCTATGGACACACTCACATGATTCTAAGCCTCTCCATAAGCTGGCTCAGACTAAAAGCTCCAACACAGAAAATATGGTGGTCACTTGATCAGGATCTGGATACTGGGCTCACAGCTTCTGCTTCTTAGATACAACACCAAATTAAATCCAGGATGCAGGATGTAGGTGTAGAAAGCATAAAACTTCTTTATTGGAACACAAACAGAATAAAATTGATTCCTTATAGCAAAGACAGTCCACGTTCACTTGACGCGTTTCGGCTTGCTCGCCTTTCTCAAAAGTGGTCTTTTGAGAAAGGCGAGCAAGCCGAAATGCGTCAAGTGGACGTGGACTGTCTTTTGACAATCAGGGTAAGCCTGATTGGCTCCCTGCTGAGCTGGGCTGAAACAAATGGTTTGCTGGAATTAGTGTATGTGGGGGAAGGTGTAACAGGGAGAGCGTGACAGTGAATATAGTCTTTTGAGCCACAGTTTGTTACAGTATTCACTGAAGACTTAATTTGTTTTTTAATGACAGTTGCAGGAGAGGAATCAGGGAATGCTGCGGGAGAAATTAACAGTTTAATTGATATGCTTTCGTGAAGAAGTGAGTTTTAATGATTTATTGAAGGAGTGGAGACTGGGTGAGCATCTAACAGAGAAAGGGAAGGGAGGTCCACAGGAACGGTGCAGCTCTAGAGAAGTCTTGAAGACGAGCGTCAGAAGTGGGAGTACGAACAGAGGATAGACGTAGTTCATCGGTGCAGCGTAGGGGTCTAGATGGGACATGTTTGTGTATTAGTGAGGATAGGTGGATTGGAGCAGCATTATGTAGACCTTTGTAAGCAATAACCAGAATTTTAAACTGAGCCCTATATCTTGGGGCATGGGAGGTGCGAACACACAGGAACATGATACTCACTGCCGCATTCATAATAGAATGTAACTGGGCAAATTGGGAGCATGTAATACTACTGAGAAGCAGATTACTAGGCGAGAGAGGTCAATGGGATGGACCAGCACCTTTGTCGTGTCTGGCGTTAAGTAGGGGCAGATGCTCACAATGTTTTTGAGATGGAAGCGACATGATTTGGTGATTGGCTGGATATGAGGGGTGAAATAGAGGTCGGAGTTAAAGAGAACACCTAGGCAGCGAGCCTGCGTGGTGGAGCTGATGGTAGCACCAGTCACGTAGAGGGAGACATAAATGGGACAAGCAACACTTGAGGGAGGAAAGACCAGATGTTCTGTTTTGGACAGGTTGAGTTTAAGGAAGTGGGCAGCCGTCCTGTTAGAAATAGCAGAGAGGCAGTCAGAGACACAAGTCAAGAGGGGCAGGGAGAGATCAGGAGAGGACAGGTAGATTTGTCATCCGCATTGAAATGATATTGGAAGCCTAAGGAGCTGATGAATTTACCAAGGGAGGCAGTATATATAGAGAACGGTAGGGGACCAAGGACTGAACCTTGAACACATAAGGAGGAGGAATTCTTTTTACTTAAACACTCAAACAAAAAACAAGAATTTTCTTTCTTTGCCAGACTCTAAATCAGTGAATCCAAGTTAACTTTTTTCAAGTGTAAACAACATGATCCTGGCACACAGGGGTGTATATATATGGGTTTAAGTGTTTTGAGATGTGATACTTCGGAGTTACGGAATATGGACAATCAGACCAAATTCTGAAAAATTGAAGTTAGGCCAAAAATGAATGCATGCGTCTACTACTAGACACAGTATAGCCTAGATCCTGTGGGCCCTACACTCTCATATTCCTTTTCTGCTTCTATGTTTGGACATAGAGAAGGAGCTCCAGATTGGAATACTTAAAGGGACACTCCAGGCACCCAGACCACTTCTGCCCATTGGAATGGTCTGAGTGCCAACTCCCACTACCCTTAACCCTGTAGCTGTAATTATTGCAGTTTTCATAAACTGCAATAATTACATTGCAGGGTTAACTCCTCCTCTAGCGGCTGTCTACTAGACAGCCACTAGAGGGCACTTCCTGGTTTCTAGCACAGGTTTTCTGTGCTAGAGCGTCGCTGGACATCCTCACGCTATGTGAGGACCTCCAGCGTCGCTCAATTGCACATAGGAAGTACTGAAAGCATTTTCAATACTTTCCTATGGAGAGGTCTAATGCACGCGCGCATTAGGTCTCCCCCGCCGGCAGCCGCGCATGCACAGTCGGATGACGGCGGAGGAGGAGCATGGGCGGACCCGAAACCACCGCCAAGGGACATCGGATGGGTGGTGGGAGGGAGAGGGGACCTGCAGTGCCAGGAAAACGATTTGTTTTTCTTATTGACATTTTAGGTTTTCCCTTACACATCATAGGAATAGAAATAAAATAAGTTGGGTTGTCTCCTTTAGACCGTGTGTCTAAAGGAGACAACCCAACTTATTTTATTTTTATTTTGTATTTCTAGCTATGCTTGATGTACGAGACATTAACTCAGTGATATACTATGAAGGGAGCATGTACAGAAATACAAAAATACAAAAGTTTTGCATATAGAAATAAAAATGCACAAATGTTTGTTCATATACATAAGGATTTCAGTAAGCAGATGGTACAGACACGTTGCATGACAAAATTAGCAGAACCAATTTATAGCTAGAGTCATATGATGGAGGTTACAGAATGAAATTGTACATTATCAGCTCAACAGTGGGTAATTGTGGTTAGTACAATTATGGCATAGAAGACTCCTAGATGGCCTACAATCAATTAATACATGTATGAGGCATATGTAGGCATTCATTCTTTCTGTTAGTTGCGCAATGTTCAATGTTTATTATTTAGTATCTTGATGTTTTCAAGTGGTGTCACAGCAAACAGCCTAGTGCTATGTGCATATATTGTTAATTGAACAGAAAACATAAAATTTTATCAAACATAGGTAATGAATAGGAACTTAGCACATCTTATAGTTCTCATATTTATAAGTACTTTTTATGTAGGCAGTAATATCGTCTCTGAGAGATAGACTTTTTGTAAGGTATAAATTCTAGAAGTGGTGCTGTATTGTGTGATAATGTATGTATGAACTCTCAGATGGATTTTGGTGTTTTTGTGATTGAAAGGAACAATATGATTGTCAGAGTGGTTGAACTTTAGGATGTGTGGACCCTTGGGGACAGCAGACACACCTCATCAGTAATTCTCTACATTCTCTTCTGGGTTATGTGTGAAATTAGGTTTCCAATTTGTAGATTATTGTGTCTTGTGGCCTGACAGGGAATAGTTGAGTTCCTCCATCGGTCTAATTTGTTCTACTCGAGCTTACCACTCATTGAGCTGCTGCTGCTTTCTTTTGCCGTTGTGGACCCCTACCAAAAATATGTAGTTGACCAGCGCATGTTCCAACAAAGCCATGAACACAAAAACAAAGCATCCCATGAGACTATAAGTGAAAGCATTTACTGTCTTCGAGATTTAAAGTGGTAGTATTCATTGTGTGTGGTGTTAGCTCTCACCTATTGTGTAATTTGATTTACTGTTTGAGTGTGTTTATTTAGAGTGACTAAACTTTGGTGGTAGTAGCTACACCGTTTGCACTTTATTCCTATACTTTATTTATACATTTTAATGCTGGTATGTACTTTTTTTCTCACATCTCCACCAATTGTCAGATACTAGAGGGTAGATTTGATACAATCGTACTGGGTTTCTATACCACCGTGCAATTAATTTACAGTTTGCTTCAACCATTGGGACTTTTAGGATGCTTCTATGTGCAAGATGGAATATTCCAGCCGGGTAAAGACACAGTGGAGTTTAATTCTTTGGACCATTCCTCTGTGTATTTGGGTGGTGAAATGTTGTCAGCATCTTGGAGACTGGAGTAAATTGGGGAAAGTAGCTTTTTTAAGGTGTGTGGCCACCCCTCAAAATTGGTTCATTGGGTTCATGCGGTTAATCCCTTTCGTGATGAGACAAACTGTGATAGTTTATGGTACCAGAATGCATCCAGAAATGAAGGGTGGCCATTGGCCTGAAAGGGCTTCAGCTTGCTATCTTAATCACCTCCATTAAAGTTAAATAGAGGAGGTGAGATGCTCTAGGCCACTTAAGTCCAAATACTCCTGGAGGAAATGTCAGATTGTGTGATATGGAAGTCAGAGGGTCACTGGTTATTGAGCAGTCGTTATTTCAAAGGCATAAGTGAGAAGGTGGCTCTGCCTGCCAAGGGAGCATTGCTAATGGAAGACGTACTCAGTCCTACCAATGTTGAACTCTGGTAGTACTACTCCACTTCAGAATGCTGGTGAATTGTGTCACCAGGTAATACTTTTTTTGTCTGGTTAGGGTATTGAATCACAGTCTCAGTCCTTTTCCAAACCAGATTTAGTCCATAAATAACTTCCGCATGGATGTGAAAAATGAAGGGGAAATGCTAATAGGTAAGGTTTGACATGTATACAATAATCTTGGAAGGATGTTCATTTTGATGATATTAATCTGTCCCATCCAGGAGCAATGGGGTTTATTCCACTTAGCTAGGTCCCAAGTTAGAGTTTGCAGTAGTGGTGAGTAATTTAAATATCTTTTAAGTGTGGTGTTCTCTTAATCCCAAGGTATTTTAAATGGGAAGTAGTAACCCTAAAGGGGAACATAGTTTTAAGCTTTTGCATGGTGTGTATTTCTGTTGCTATTGGGAGAATCTCACTTTTTTCATAATTTATCTTAAAGTTAGACATGTTGGAATAGAACAATAGCTCCAAAACAAGGGCTGGGAGCGCGGTCTCTGGACTGGTGATCATAAACAATAAATTATCTGCATATGGAGAAACCTTGTACTGTGAAGATTAACAATGCATACCAGTAATGTTAGCATTGGAGCAAACAGCATTTAGGAAGGGTTCAAGCGTTAGTATGAACAACAGGAGAGAGAGGGGACAACCATTCCTCGTACCATTCAGGATGGGCAATAGATCGGAGTTTGTTCCATTTACTTGAACTCAGACCTGTTGGCGTGTGTAGATAGCACGAACCCATGCCAGCCAGCGTTCTCAAAGTCCCATCTCCCCCATAGCATCGAAAAGGAGGGACCAGTCCACACTGTCGAAGGCTTCCTCTTTGTCTATGAGGTGTACCAATGTTTGAATTTGTTGCGTAGTTGCTTTGTGAATTATATTTACTATTGTTATTGTGTGTCTTTAGCCTCTCTATTGGATGTGAACCTTGCCTGATCAGGGTGGACTAGTCCCTTGAGGAGTGGTTTAAGTTGGTAGGTAGCATGCGGGAAATAATCTTAATGCCATTATTTATTAACGATATAGGTCGGTAATTACTGCATTGTCGGGTCTTTGTCAGGTTTGGCGATCAAAGTTATTGTGGCTTCT